TTTTTGTTGCTTCATGTGTTGAGAGATAGTTAAAAATAATCATGGCATAGTTGAAGTAAATCGGCTAATTAGAATTTGAGATTTGTGGCAACTGCATCGAAAACAGTATTTTCTAGAATAACGCTTCTGAAATTTTACGTCGCCAGTTGCCTACTGTTATAGTCGACTGCTAAACAAGTACAGTTGTCACGACACTAAAGCGGCTTTAGCTTGGGAAATAGTTTAAATTTTTAAAAATTCTAATTTCTTCTAATAAATATCTTAAAGATATTTTTGAATATCTAAACTATCGAATTATAAAAAAAAAATAGATTTTTTATAACTTTCTATAATTTTTAAAAATCCTTTCGGCAACATATTTTTGAATATCTTAACTATCGAATAATGAAATAACTCGATTTTTCCAACTTTCTAGACTGGTATACCGTTTTTTGGCATCTTTTAATTGTTTCCTGTTTTTTAACTTTAAAATTAACCCTGAAACAATTCAAGCCATAAAATTCATTGAAGGAACCAATGATTTCCTCTGTCACGACATATAACAAGTGTATGTAAATTTTGGTTTGCCTACTTTTACTTATTAAATATTAAGTTAATTTGAAGGAAATAATAATTTTAGGCATTCAAATTATAAGAAAGTTATTTTCCATATTTTATATAGATTAACTTTTTTGTTAGCTTTTATCCTATCGAGTCAAGCTTGAACTAAAAAGTACCATTTCGATAGGTGGCTTTGAAACAATATGAGTCTAAGTAATGAGATGACTAGAGTTTAATAAATGAACGAGCAGTAGACATAAGTCTCTATAGTTATCTTCATCTCCTGCTTGGATTTTGAACATTGCTACTATTCATATCAACTTATAATGTTATAAAATTTGTATGTCAGTTTTCCAAAACTTCAATGATAGTGTCCATAGTCGAGGATATCCCAAGTAGTTCTTTGTTTAAGATAGAAGTAGTTATAATATGTGACCTGGTCTACGAAAAGGGAGCTAACGTGCGAAAACTAGTTTATGACTTTTTGGATTCTATCGCGTGAAAAAACATCTCATCTTCCATCCGAATCAACTAAGATCTTTTGACACCTAAGCCCCCTTTCCGTAGACCAGGTCACATATACGTACTGTAGTTAAATATCAGTTTCCACTCAAAGTATATAATTTGTTTTATCATAATCAAAACGTAGACCACCACTTATAGATGATAATGCAGTAGCTTTTCTAAAATTTCGAAATAAATAATGAATCATATGGAAAATGGAATCCCACACTTTTTCATTTTTTAGCGGCTAATCTGAATTTGTATCACTTTGCTCAATTTTGATCGCGTTTTTCTAGTTTTTGTTCTTGGTGTTACCCAGTAAAGTTTTAATTTAATACTTGTACTTTTAAACTTCATTCGTTAACCAAATATTTTGAAACTTTGAAAAATTAGAATATATTCCAAGTATATGAAAATTGGCACAATTGCTTAGGCAATCAGTGAATAATTGGAATTTCTTAATTCAAATAACATTTTTCAATTCACAGCCTATGTAGGGCTCAAAAGAGGGCGGCAGCAAAGCTAAAATGTTCGAACAAATTGAAGCTTCGTTTTACTGCGGCCTGTCAGTTGGTACTTTGGGTCAATCCGATAACAGCGCTGGAGCTTCTATTAACACATACATGCATGCAAACCTGCAGATATATTATATATACCGATATGTATGTAGATATATAGTAGGGAATGCGCTTTCGAAAAACCAGCGTTGTTGGCGGTCGCGTGGAACTGAAAGATTAATTGCTTTTGCTGCGCAAGCGATTGGCTTCGTTCATGCTGGAAATTTTTCAATTTTCTGCAGCAGTTAGGGACTTGCTGGATCGCATAGTTTTTCTTTTGTAATTTTTATTATTTGTTTTTTATTCTAATTGAGCGCATGGTAGAGCGCGTTGGCGCGAGAAAAAATTGCAAAAAATGCGCTGCAATCAAGGCAGTCTAATATTGTTTGAAAACAATTTTTTTTTTTTTTTTGTTGGCAAACTTGTTTATTTTTATTGGTGCCACTAACAGTGGCATGCAATAAAAGAATTCGCAAAAACAAAGCGCGCAAAAATCTCGCAAACAATTGCACTTGTTTTTCAATTAGTCAGGTCAATTGCCATTTATAGCGCTTAACTCATATTTTTAACGCTTTACTTCTTTGCAGGCAATCACCCGCGCGACGATGAAACCCACTCAGTCGCTATGTCGGATGCCAATGCACCACGCGTACGCCACACCTACATCGACGACACCTACGGCACCAGTCTGCCGCCCGATCTGCTCGCCTTTCCGGCACGCGTGCCGCCCACCTCACCTTCCATGCAATCGTCACACAGCAACATACCGGAACAAATCATCTATGGCATACGCTCACCACCGCTCACCAGCCCGGTGTACGCGCACATGACGCCGCATGGCATCTACGGCACCACAACCATCGCTGCCGCCACACCGAACGGTTTCATGACACTACAACATCCGAAATCGCGCAACTTGGCGCTCATAGCCGCGGCCAACAATCGTCAGCAGCTGCAACAGCAACATGTACACGCCCACCTGCCGCCGCAGCAGCATGGCGGCGCACACCAGCAGCAATCACCGTTCTTGCCAGCGCCCGTTATGTACTCACCCACCACAGCGGTGGTGATGAAGCAAGGCTACATGACGATACCGCGTAAACCGCGCGTTCCCAGTTGGGCGCCCTCCACATCCACCACAAATGCCACACAATTGAGCGAATTCCAATCGCCCACATCGCCAAATCCCAGCGAAACTGGCACCGCCACCACAGCCGAACTGCAAGCGGAGCCCGTGTACGACAATCTCGGTCTGCGCACAACAGCCGCCGGCAATTCGACGTTAAACTTGCACAAAGTACATCCGGAGGCGAGTAGCGGCGCTGCGACCTCGACGCGTTACACAATGCGCGACCGCCCGTTACCGGCAACGCCGAGCCTTACTTCGGTGGCGTCATCGAGCGCATCGGCCGCCATGCAACAACAGCCGCAGACGCAGCCGCAGCCACAGCAAGCGCAGCAGCTACAACAACACACGCCAACAAAACAAAACAAAGGTGTCGCGAGCACATCGGCGGCCGCCGCGACTGCAGCGAAAATCTATGAGCCCATACACGAGCTGATGCATAATCATCATATGACAACGACCTCCGACACGGAGCCACTTTATGGCACCGCGCGACATCACAACGGTCTGACCATTGTGCCGAGCATTAGCGGCAGCAGCGCACTAAACACTTCCAGCAGCACGAACGCGTCGATGGGTGAGCCCACGAAAGTGGCGAAAATACCGCCACGCCCACCACCAAAGCCGAAGAAGAAGATGTCGGTGACAGCGACACGCGGCGGCCAAGGCAGCACCAGCCAACTGTTCGACGACGAGGGCGAGGACGGCACTGAAGTTTAGTTGCACGACAACAATGGCGGCGACAGCAACTGCAACACCAACGACAACAGCGACGACGCCACCTAAAAGTTTGCGCGGAAAAATGGCAGCTCATAACTGTAAACCATATGCAGTGACAGCGTGGAGCAGCAACGAAAATGTATGGTAAATGTGCGAAAGCGTAGTGTATAGGTGTATGTAAGTAGGTACGTACATATGTATGTATTCGTATTTGTATGTATAGATAGTTAGTTGGAAAATAATTGGAAATCAACTAAAGAAAGGTACGCGCTTCAGGCGGGTGCGGTGAATTCGGATGGTGGATGTGTTGTAGTGTATACATATACATATTTTTAGCCTTGCATTGCAGCTGCGGTGACAGTTACCTGAGGCTGAACATGTGGATATGGATTTAATATGTGCATAACTGTCAAAAAAATTCAATTTTGTATCCTTTAATCCAATATTCTAATCTAAAATTTGATTGTGCTGCAAAAAGTTATGGCACATCAATTTTAATCATGCTTCATTTAAAAATCATTACTTTCAGTCCAGTTCTTACATACATCTTCATTTCCATTTTTTTTTTCGTTCTAATTCGAATTTAAAGCTCATATTATTGTTGCTTTTTTAGCGGTAGAAAATATTCCACAAATAATTGTAGTAAATGCTACGGAATTGAGAACACTTGACCATAGTCAAATTCTGATTCGTTCCTGTTACGTAGACCCGACTGTTTAGGAAACGCATAAACTTAAAGTTCAAAAGTTTCAAAGCTTATCTAGTTCAGCAAAGCTCTTTAAAAAATATTGCGCAGACCATAATCAGATAGTAATTACTTTTGTGGTGAGTTTTGAATAATGTTCTTGAGTTTCAAAAAATCTCTGTGTTGGAAAAAAAATTTTAGCCTGAGCTTAAATCAATTAATTTCTCATAATATCTGAAAAGAAACATAAATTCACCACTTTTTGCTTGCATTGTAAGGCATTCTGATAAAAGGGGTGTTAAAATACACAAAATTATGTAGTGAAAAAATATCTTAGACGGAGTTGCAAATGTGTCACATGATTTCCATATAATAAACTCACCGATTGGTGTTTGCATTATGGCGCTACCACCATACGTGTGGTGAAATATTAAAAATAGTGTGGTGAAAAAATCCATATCAGTCCGATCTCAAGCTATGTAAATTCCCATCATCTTCATCCTGGATAATGCATTCAGCCTTTTCTGTTTTCATTATGAAGCTACCATCACACGTGTGGTGAAATATTGAAAACTTCATTTTGGTATGAGCTTGAGCTAAATAAGTTCCCATATGTCAGGTAATAACCTAAACATTTTTGTGTGCACCATCAGAATTGCTATCAAATTTATTATGAAATATTCAAAATGGTGTGTGGTGGCAAATTCATATTGGCTTGAATTTGAGCTTGAGCTATGTATATAACATTCATCATCTCTGCCTCAAATAGCAACCTTTTAATTTTTGTTAGTACCTTCAAAGATTGCAATAAAATGTATGGTGAAATATTCAAAATAGTGTGATGAAAGATAAATATTGGTCTGAGCTTGAGCCTTTCTATCATCTCCGACTCATATAATAAACTTACCATTCTTGTTTGCACCATGAAGCATTGCGATAAAATGTATGATGACTTATTCAAAGCGGTGTAGTGAAAAATGCAAACTGAACTGAATTTGAGCTATATAACTTTCCATCATCCCGATAAAAAGTGTGGTGAAATACTAATAGTGTGATGAAAAATAATTCTGCTCTATAAAATGATTTTTTTTTTTTTTGGAATTTAAAAAATTAGAACTCCATAACAGCATAATTATTATTTTAAATTTTTTTTTGATCAACATCTGTTTCTTGACCACATGTTTTTAAGAAAAATATAATATATATTTTTTTACAAACTAGTTTTCCAAACTCCAAACGAGCTTTAAATTCATTATGTACATCGCACATAGCCCAGCTGACCCAATCTGTTCACATATGTTGAATACCGGTAACACCACCTTACAACAAATGGTAAATACTTGCACAAAACTGCGCTCAATGCAACACACCACTCGTATTCACCACCTCGCACATGAAGTGTGGCTAATCGCGTGACGACTTGTGTGCCAAACGACTGATGTAGAGTTTAGTAAATTACACAGAAAATTACAAATAGCAAAACAAAAAGCAAAACAGGAAACAAAAAATCGAAAAAAAAAATCAGAGAACAACACTTTTAGAAAACATGAAAATGCAATAATGGAAATTCGAGAAGAAGAAGAAAATTAAGAATGAAGAAATGCAACTAAAAGGACTTTCATGCTTCAAAAGTAGTAGTGCACAATTTCAAAGAACAAATTAGTACAACTTTTTTGCTTTGTTTCACGTCGTATCCTTTGTTGATTTTGTTGCTATTGCCATTTTCAATTTTAACTCCAACAAACATTTTTAATTGGGCAACAATGAAATAGAAAAAGAAATGAAGAAAACACTTAAAATTGGCGCACTTTGCACAATAAGCGAAGGAATAAAGAGCGAAATCGAGCGGAAGTGCAGAAAAGGCTTTGTAGCTGTAAGTAAAAGTAAAAGCTGTAAGCAGGATATGCTGTCGGGTGAAAGCGGAAAATTGCGATTTCAAAGAAAATTTGGTGCATTGAACTTTGGCTAACATATGTGAGGCCTGCTATTGACAGATTTGGGTAAGTGTCTCTTACGCCTTTCGCCGCCTATTTTTTACCATACGCCCTTAACAACAACAAAATTTCTAAACTAAAAAAATCTGCAATTTTTTTTACATGTTTTTTTTACTATTTAATTGTAAGTACAGTAGCGATATGTACATTCTTAGCTAGGTATATATTTGTAAAGAGAAGGAAGAAACAAAAACAAAACACGAAAAACAAAAAAAGAAAACAAGCGATAATGAAAACGAGCAACTAAATTAGTAAAGTTTAACTTTATATTTTAAGCGAAATTTTCAAATTATAGACGAAATGTGGAAAACTGAAGAATAGTATGATATATTATATATATGCATATATATATATATATATATATAGGATAGAGTAAGTGTTAAGCTAAGAAAAATATTTTAGTGCTAGTACATAGGCATGTATGTAACTAATTGAAGTAATTAAGCAAATACTTGTAATGAATTAGTGTAATGAAGGAAGGAAGTAAAGCGAGCTCGATCGATTGCGTGCTTTGAAGAAATGTACAATATTTAAGCGAAATGATTTTTAAGCTAACAGATTGCTATATGTAACATACACTGAAACATACATACATTATATATAAACATAATATATATATGTATATTCATTGTATATGAATTATATATAGTATGTACCGCAATTATTCATGCGTAAATATTACAACAGCAAAGCGATGTATAATAAACTGGCAGACATTTTCCAAAATATAAATATTTATAAAAAAAAACATAACTAACATAACAACAGAAATTTTTTTAAAATGTAAATTAATGTTATTTAAAAAATTTTTTTTTTTTTTTTTTGGACATCATAATTGAAAGCAACATACAAACAAACGATGAACAAGCGCGAAAATAACTGTAAATAGTTTAGATTGCAATGTATTGCCGGCATTGTATAATGCAAATTGTAGTGTAGAATTTTTATTATGTAAAAATAAGCAACAGCAATTACCGTTAACACAAACAAATAGCATAATCATGCCGAAATCCTGCAGCTAATTTGAATTAAAATTGTAATTTATTAAAAATTCATATAAAAAACCAGCAAGCATATAGCGTAAAAATAGAAAAAAAATTAATTAAAATTGTATATAGCAAGCACACATACATATACAAGCATACAGAAGATGCTTAACAAGAGCACTATAAAAGAAACCCTGAGAATCCCACTGGAAATAATCGCTATTGTGTAGTTATTATAATTTTTTAATAGTAAAATTATTTATTCTTAATTTTTTTTTGTAAATTTAAATTTTAATAAATTTTGTTTTTAATTTTTTACAAATTATGCGCTTCACAAGCTGCCACAATTTGAGATAAAAAATCTTCACTCATTATGCACAGTTTTTGTTGTTTGTTTTCACAACTTCTTATTCAACGGTATTGTGTTGCAATGAGTTGATACTCTTAATTTATTTTGGTTTTTCTTTTTTTTTTCAAAATATTTTTATTGCATCGGAATGCGCTTTAGTCGGCATTTTGCTGACTGAAAAATCAAAACAAACTCAAAATAATAAAAACTTCCGCTGCTGTGGCGACGCCGGTATGGCTGGCATGAAATGACGCAGCGACCAATACGACTACTGTGGGAATTTGAATCAAGTTTAGTAAACAAAGCCGAGANTATTTTAAATATTTAAGCAAATGAAGGATGAAGTGCCAAGTTTCATTGGAAAATTGCTAAGTGGAAGCATTTATAAGTTAAATTTAGTTAAATCTGTAGACTAGTTGATCAAAAATCACATGGAAATGCAAAAATGTATACAATTTTTAAATATTATTTTAAATATTTTTTCTTTCTTACTTTATTTATTTATTTACAAAAAGCTGTTTAAAATCACTCCAATTTAACACAACCTAAAAGTCTTATACTCATATAATTCAACTCGAAAATCACAAAAAAATGCTGCTTCAACATACAGTCGCTTCTTGCAATCAATTGGGGAATGATTTTCCAACAATTCACTAACCGAATAATTTTTTGGCCATACCATATAATTTCCAGTTGGGTCGCTTAGAATATGTTTTTTTTTTTTTGTTCAAATTAATTACAATAATTTACCTATAAAGCCAATAAATTAGTTACAATGCATTTAATTGGTTTGCAAAAAGTTTAAATCAGAAGTGGTAGCATGCATTATGCATTAATTGAAAGAATGTGACTGGCGACAGTGCTTAGTATGGCAAATATGTAGGATTGTCATGACCTTCAAAGTTGTTGATAAATTTTCCAGAAAAGTACTATAAAATACCTCAAAGCAGCAAATTATTTTTGATTGCAATGAAAACATATTGTTCTGTACATTTTTTTAGGCTTACATATTTTATAAAACCTTATGTAATTTTGAATTCTCCAACTTCACTCTAAGTTCTTAAATTCTTGCAGAATATTTCAAGTAAGCAGCTTAAGTGAGAGAGTATTTACAATTTTATTTTTTCAATTTTTACACACTTTGTAATAAAATCGGCACATAAATTGTTCGCAACATTTTTATATGCAACATGTTGCCAGCAACATTTCAAAATTACGCCAACTTCATGCTAAAATGTGCAAATTTAAAATTAGATTAATGCAAACAAAATTTTAACATTGCAACACTTGGGAACAATGATGCGCAACATGCCAGCAACATTTTCTAATTATGTCAATTTCATGTAAAAGGTTAAAATAGAAAATTAAGAACATTTTAAAAGTGCAACACTTAGCAACAATCTTGCGCCACATGCAACATTTCAAAATTACGCCATCTTCAATCTAGAATATTCAAAGCCAAAATAACATTTTAAAAGTTCAACAATTAGCAACAATGTTGCGCAACATGCCATTGCGGTGTTGCGCAACATGCCATTAACATTTTAAAACTATGCCAACTTCATGCAAAAATATTCAAATTTAAAATAAATTTATTGTCAACAACATTTTAAAAGTGTAAAACTTAGCAACAAATTTTCGCAACATGCTAGCAACATTTCAAAATTATGCCATCTTCAAGTTAAAAAGGTTAAAAAGGAATTCATTTTCTAAAACATTTTAAAAGTTCAACTCTTAGCAACAATGTTGCGCAACATGCCAGTAATATTTTAAAATCTTGCCATCTTCATACTAAAATGTTCAAAACGAATATTAAATAATTTTACTGCAAATTTTAAATTTTCAACACTTAGCAACAATGTTGCGCGACATGCCAGCAACATTTCACAAATTATGAAGTTTTACGAAAATTTATAAAAATCAATTGAAAACTTTAAGGCTTATTAACAATCTTCGGCAACATGTCTCCGGTGCTGTTTTTCATGATTTTTTTTTATTATTAAGTTAAACAATGTGTTAATGAAATGAAAATCTAACACAAATATGATTTTTTTTTTTTGTAATCTACGCTCGCTAAATTAAATTTACATTAATTTTACAAATTTGTTGTATTTTCGGAAACAATGTACAAATTTTAAACACGGAATCAAAACAAGTTGTGCCTGTCGTTATCACGTTCTATTCCAATATTGTCAATGATGTAAGCATTTATTAAAACAATAACGCAAAAATTTGTGTACTCAACGAATTTTTAGCAGCAAATGCTAACTAAAAGTATTTTATTTCGCATATTTATGGCGCTCAAAAAATTAGACAAAATTAATTATTGTGAGTTTATTTAATTATACGAATTTTCTATTAAAAATATTTTGTATAAATTTATTGTAGCTGTAATTTAAGCGAATTTACATAAGTTAAATATATTTTTTATTAATTTTAGGCTTATAAGTATGAAAATATTTAGATTAAATGAAGTAATGTTTTGGTACTAAAGCTCTCATTCGCATGGTTCAGCCTTTGTATTATATATATATTATATACATACATGCATATGCTGTCTCTTATACACATCTAGATGTGTATAAGAGACAGGTGTGTATGCATTTGTTTAATATACATACATGCATATGTATGCACATATTCATATATATAGATATATATATATAATTTTCAATAATTACAATAATTTGACGCATAATGTATATTTTTTGTAAGCGCAATAGTTTTTTACACGAAGGCAACCGACTCTAGCATTTGTAAGCCAAGCGTTTTAAACGCATAAATTATTCTACTTCGTATTTAATTTGTATATTTTAGCCACGCACTAAAGTAAGAAATCACCTTTTATTAATTCCTATAAATTAAGCATTGATTTCACCGCAATCAATTAAGTATATGAGCTATTTTCCGTTACGTAACACGACAATTGCTGCACGCATACATTTCAAATACAATAACAATTATAATTTGCTATTATACTTTCACATACACACGCACACATGCATATGCAAATTATTATAAACATATTTATAAGTTCGAAAAAAGGCAGAAAAATCCACTTTATCGCATTAATTGAAATTGTGCGCAATTTTTTGTACTCCTTAAATGAAACCGCACAACAAACTCACACACACATATAGACATACAAACAACAATAATGCAGCTAGAAATAATTATTTATAAAAAGTGTAACAAAAAATACACCCGCAACCATTACTCACACACGCAAACATACAAACATATGTAAATTGAAACAATTATATTTGTAGCTAGCAAATAAGCGGAAATGAAAAAATTGCAAAAAACCGAAAGCAAAACAAAGCTTAATTTCGCAAACAAATTGTGGTCGAGGGAAATTAGCACCGCTAACGGTATCATACAGCTGTGTATGCGTATTATATGTATTCAAATTATAGCTATGCAAACACATACACCTTAACATATATAATAAGCTACATACTTGCATAGTAATAAAATAATATAATTARTTATAAACATAGATATAAATATATATATAAATATAGAATTATAAATGCAAATACAATGTATTATTAATATTATGAGTATTAAATATAATTTTTTTATAAATAATTAAACTAAAACTCGAAATGACTTCTTATTTGGCACTCAAACAGGTAATAATAGCAAATAAGTGGTAAGAAAACGTAGCATATGCGCGTGGCGCTCCCAACAGGGTGTATTGCTCCAACGGCGATTTGCCGAATGTCGCTGGGTGGCGAAAAATGTTGCATATGCGAAAGGCGTATTGGTGCAGGGTGCACTGGCGGCCGCAAAATAATTTCTGCAGCCACCTGCTAACAATGCTGGGTGCCTGGTGAAAATGCGACTATTTGAAATTTGGATTTTTGTGGGACGCCGCCGCGTGTGTGCTGTATGTGTGAGTGCATATTGCTAATAAGCAGCGTGCATGCATGCAAATGAGTGCATTTAATGGAATTGATTTCTATTGAATAAAAATGAATAGGGGGCGTGGTTCGAAATTAATTAAATTAGAAAAATATTAAATAATAAATAAAAAATAACAAACATAAATTAAATAAATTAAAATCACA